AAAAAAAAAAAAAAAAAAAAATCTCCATACCCAAGGATTAAATGAGTCCAACGGTGGCAGTCAGGCCTTAGAATTTTTCAAAGAATCCCACTTAATTCTAATGTTCAGCAAAATTTGGGAACCAATGATGTAAGCACTTTATAGACAATTTAAACAAAAACTTATGCCAACAAAGTAGGTAGCTCTCAGTCCTCCTGGAGCCAATAAAAACAGTTACAGAATGGGAGGGTCATTGAATTCGATGACAAATAGCATGAAGGGCAATTTACAACTTGAAGCGTTGTGAAATACAACGTGAACATTTAAAGTATGTGAAATGTGAGCATGACAGAGAGTCTATCAGATATGACTGCGTATTTTTTACTTCTGGATGACTTTTTTCTTTTGCAACTTACCTAGGCTGTGCTATACATTTTCATGCGTCATCTTACTTAATCCTCAAATAACTCTCCAATAATAAGGCAAGTACTATTATCCCCATCATCCAGATGAATAGATTGGAGCCATTAAGTCACTTTTCTAAGATCATACAACCGACGTGTGGAAGACCCAGCAATTGAGCAAGAAGAGCCACACCTTGCTATTAATATTATTGTTTCCCTAGCATTTAACTCATTGTGGTAACCCCAATAAAAGTTTAATTGTTGTCTCTGCAGAAATTATTTCCCTTCTGAGAAGGAGCCAAAATTTTTTTCAGAGGGGAAAATATGATTGCCTTGCCTTAAAACCGAAGTCTGATAATACTGATATACTTTCCTCCTCTGTTGGAAAACAATGGGCTAAGTGTATTTTTCAAAATAAGTGTTAAGAAGGAGTTAGGGACTTTTGATTGGATGGAACACTTGAATTGCTTCTTTCTTTCTCACAAAGCCTCACTAGAAAAGGAATAAAGAATATAAATGGAAAGAAATTAGCCAAACAACTAAAAATAGAAAAAATTAGCCAGGCACGGTGGCGCATGCCTGTAGTCCCAGCTACCCGGGAGGCTGAGGCAGGAGGATCTCTTGAGCCTAGGAGTTTGAGGTTGCAGTGAGTTATGACGACGCCATTTCACTCTACCCAGGGCAACAGAGCCAGACTCTGTTGAAAGGAAAGAAAGAAAGAGAGAAAGA